AAAAAAAACACCAAAACCCCAAAACACCAACATTCTAAAAAGTGTAATGCTTAACAGCTGCTTCTTAACTAGGCAGTATCAGGGCACATATTCATGGCAGTGAATTCTAAAGCTGGATGAAACTACTTTCTTTCTTTTTTGGTACCAAGAATTGAACTCAGGGACACTTAACCACTGAGCCACATCCCCGGCCCTTTTTTCTATTTAAGAGACAAAGTCTTCCCAAGTTGCTTTGGGCCTCACTAAATTGCTAAGGCTGGCTTTGAACTCACCATCCTCCTGCCTCAGCCTCCGGAGCTGCTGGGATTACAGGCATGCGCTGCCACTCCTGGCTGCTGGATGAAACTACTTTCTCTGGTGACAAGCCCTATTTGTTATAGACTTCATACCACTAATCAGCAGAGCTTCATGTTAGTACTATCATTTTATCCTGAAAAATATGCACAACCATTTGTGCTAGATTCTATTTCTGACTTATGGTCAATTCTAAATGCTTACACCTCAATACTAAACTTCCTTTTTTCTTTACAAAGTCAACTGTTCTGAAGGTACATTCCATCTACTATAATTAAAGAAAACTGGGTGGTGGGGGTGGTTTAGTGGTAGAGTGCTCTCTCACTTAGCATGTGTGAGGCATTAGGTTCAATCCTCAGCACCACATAAAAATAAAACAAAGGTATTGTGTTCACCTACAACTAAAAAATATATTAAAAAAAAGAAAATTAAATATATTCAATAGTTCCTGACTGGAATGTTTCAGGTCCCATTATTTAGGAACTGAATGAGCAGTAATTCAATGTACCCTCATTCAAATCTGATCATATGGTCATTATGTTTTAGGACAGAATAATATCTTATTTTCAGTCTAAAGGATGTCTTATGACACTACCTCTAATGTGTATACCCCAGATATAATATATATAATATTATATAAACCATATTTTATCCTTTCTAAAATATTATATAATATTAATATTATACAAACCATATTTTATATATAATATTACATAAACCATATTCTAGCCCTTCTAGAATATTACTTTTGGAAAAAAAAATCCATTTTACGATTTACCCTAAACAATATGCAATTCTGCTAAAGAATTAACTGCAAAAACCTGACACACAATTCCTAAGCTGCAACAAATAGTCCATACCTATTTCTTTGAAGTGATTGCTATTTGGGTTTTCATTTCAATGGGATTTAGTATGAACAGCATAAATGGGAAAATGCTTTTCTGCCACAAGAAGGCAAAGTCAATTGCCTGTGGCAGTGTCTTCATTACTTCAATGACTATTAAGCCACTGAGAAATTTATCAAAGCTAACAGAGAACAGCAAAATAAAAAGTGGATGGTCGGTAGACACTGAACAAAGTAACAGAATTTTTAAGGCTAAAATCTTCATAAGAGATAGAATACTTATACTTAAAACCTGTCAACTTGGCGAGAAATAGAATGCTATGTCTGGTATATGGTGAGGGACGGGGGGAATCAAGGTTGAGTCTTTTAGGGAAAAATCCAGTAAGAAAGAAAAGGATCAAGACAAAACGTACTGAATGAGATTTGAGTTTGAATGTACTGAAGGACCTAAGGATACCATCAAAGAATCCCTGTAGCTCTTGCTTGGCCAAGGACAAAAAATATGGCTTTTCTCTTCAGTCAGAAATTGAGTAAGGTTGCCAGGCATGGGGGGCACACGCCTGTAATCCCATTCGCTCAGGAGGCTGAGGCAGGAGGATTGCGAATTCAAAGCCAGCCTCAGCAAAGATGAGGCACTGAGCAACTCAGTGAGACCCTATCTCTAACTAAAATACAAAATAGGGCTGGGGATGTGTGTGGCTCAGTAGTTGAGTAACCTTGAGTTCAATACCCAGTAACCCCCGCCCCCCCAAAAAAAGAAATTGAGTGAGGTCTCCTGACCGGCTTTCCTCTAACATAAGCATCTCCCCTGTGTTTCCAGCATATAGTATTCAGCTCAACTAAGTGACATGCCAGAAGGAACTCAACACAATACACTGTGGTAGACCAGCAGATGGAATAAATTGAATGAAGTAAAAAGTTAAAAAAAAATTTTTTTTTTAGCCTCTACAAATGACTAGCTTGAGAGAGTAGTATATTTCTTGTTTTAAAAAAAGCAAGCTTGAGGGTTTGGGGTTGTAGCTCAGTGGTAGAGTGCTTGTCTAGTATGTGTCAGGCACTGTGTTCAATCCTCAGCATCACATATAAATAAATAAAACAAAGGCCTATGACAACTAAAAAAAATAAATAAATAACAAAATTTCCTTCCTTTAGTTAAAAGTGACTGGAAAAAGAATGGCTTATTTTTCTAGAATGAATACAGACAGGGGTTAACTTCCTTTTTTTGATAGTCATCTTATGACCTGAGAGGAAACCCAACCCCTCTAATTGTGGCTTTTGAACTAATTCTAACACATCTGGCTTTTAGCAGCTGTGGGGGAAGAGAAGAAGAAAAAGATGTTGAGAGTAAGGTACTACAAAAGAAGACTCAAGTTGTTGACAATGAACAAACTGAATAAATCATTTTGCTTGGGTAGTTGATAAATTCAGTTCATAATGTAGACTGCAGCTTTTCCTATCAGTGTTTAAAAGCAAACTTATCCTTTCCTTCTTCCAAGGCACACACAGAGATAGAAATTATGTCTAGCTGTGCAGAGATTTGATTCCTCTGAGTATGCTGAAATACTGAGCTAAGTACCCTGATCCTTCTAAGCTTGAAATATTTCTTCTACCCATGGTTAATTTGTTAGCTCTTACTTTTATTTTAAGTGTGCCTGACACCCTTGACTTTCTATAGTAAGATCTGTATTACACTCATTTCTTTATCATAGTAACTGATAAAATGCTAGCTTTCTGCCTCTATTCTTGGCATTTACCAGCAAATAATGATCCACACGTGAACAATGTGAGAAGAGCCTCACCAGAAGTACGATTTGTGAAGGAAGTTAAGGACCGAGACCCAATCTCAGCACATTGGCACACACTTCTAATCCTAGCAACTAGAGAGACTTAGGCAGGAGGATCACAAGTTCAAGGCCAGCCTCAGCAACCTAACAAGCCCCTGTCTCAAAATAAAATAAAAAAGACTGGATATATAGCTCACTGGTAGAGGGCCCCTTAGTTCAATCACCAGTAATCACCTCCTTACCCCAAGGGGGGGGAAAAAAAAACAGAACAAAACCAAAAAGGACTGAAACTCAAATTCTAGTAAGTCATTTAACCCAATATCCAATAAGTCACACTAGCATTTCAGGCTCCTGTTTATATTGATTATTTTCAATTATAAGCCAAATTAACACATCACATATAAGAAGCAAAACTACTTTAGGAAGGAATATGGAACTTTTGAATTAGAAGTTGGTGATCAGAAATGACGATTTTACCGTGCAAAAATGACAACTTCTTTCTTTGTCACTGACTTCCCTCCTGTGAAACTTCTGAGAAGATATAGCCTGTGAACAATGACACATGTTGCTAAAGAAGGACTTTGAGAGTATTTAATTCAATCAAAATGTGTTCCATGTACCAAGCAGTATGACCTTACAAACAATTCCACCACAAATGACAAGTTATTCATTAAAAATGAAATACATAAATCTTTAAGGGCAAGATTTTATGTTCAGCGAATCCTTAAAAATTAAATTCCTCGAAATCCTGAGTTTGATCCCCTACACCAAAAAAAAAAAAGAAGAAAAATTAAATTCCTTTAAAATTATGTGAGTTATTACGTTGATAACCTTGATAGGTTACTTTTCATGCTGGCAGAATAAACACAAAATGCTGCCTACAAATGCTGATCCTTCTAAGTCTGAAGAGTCCCAGAAGATGAGAAGATGCTCATTATAGAGGATATCTTTTATGAGATGAAATTTGACCAGTCTTTTTTTTCTTTATTTGTTCTAACTAGTTACATATGACAGTAGAATGTATTTTGACACACCATACATAAATGGAGTACAACTTTTGATTCTTCTGGTTGTACCTGATAATAGAGTTACAATGGTTGTGTAATCACATATGCACATAGGGTAATTACATCCGACTGAAATTTGACTGGTCTTTATGATGGAAAGACTTTCTCTGTCATAAATATAAAAATATTAAGTATATACCAACCTAATTTTCATACCTTTCACTTCCTTGAGGATTCTGACCAAACTAGAACTGAAAATTTTAAAAATGTTTTAAAAATTTTAAACCAAAAATATTTTAAATAATAAAAAATAAAGCTTAGTCAATTTTATGAATGAAAATTTCCAAGAATAGGTCAATGTCTGTAGTGATTAAGTAAATTCACTGGCAGCATAAGGTGAAACATCTTGGAAGTCCTCACATTGTGGGTATGGATCCAAACTCATTAACAGCAAAACCAAAGACAGAAGAATAACAAAGATAGAAAGTAGATCTGTTTTTACATTATTGTTAGAACTAAAAGATCAATCATTATAAGATTACTTTTGAGTTTCTATCCAAAACACACTATTTAAAAAAAAGGATGAAAAAAAATCAGATACCCATCATAGGCTTCTAATTACAATTAAAGCAGTTATCAAAAACCCAATAAAGAGGGATTTAAGAATAAGCTTGTTTGAGTACAATTATTCTCTTTTAATTTTGTTATGTAACAGCTTTAAGCTATTAATGTCTACTAAATGCTAGGCTTCTGACCTTCCTACTTAGAATGGCAACAGAACTGGAGGCCCAAAAGGGGTTGTCACATTTCCTTTTAAAGAAAAGGAGGACAAACTACTAGATTTGGGGGAGATTTCTATGCAGTTCTGCCTCAAGGAGAGAAAAGACCTGCTAAGTTTCTCAAGGGCCCTTCCATTGGGCAGTTGAATGACAACCCATGGAATGGGTTCCAATATAAAACCACTCTAATATGTAACCATCATGACACACTGGGAAAGGAATCAACTACAAGTTTTTAAAAGTACCAAAGGATATTGTGGTTAGAAAACAAAAATTAAGAACGTGGAAAAAAAAAAGCTGTGGGAAAGTATGGCTGGAATAGTGCTAGTGATCTCACTAGATAAACTGAGGACAGTTTTTGCCAGTCCTGGGAATTGAACCCAGGGCGTTGCACACACTAAGCAAGCACTCTACCATTGAGCCACATCCCCAGCTCTTTTTAAAAATTTTATTTTGAGACACGGTCTTGCTAAGTTGCCAAAGCTGGCCTCGAACTTGTGATCCTCTTGCCTGATGTCTTGAGTAGCTAGGATTATAAGAATAGTTTTTAAAAAATAATATGTACTTTAATATTTTTATTAGTGCTTTAATATTTTTATTAGTGGGGTTCATTCTGACATATTCATACATGCATATAATAGAGCATGGTTCTGTTCTTTATGAAGAGTATTGTACATATGAAATAAAGATGATGCTGAATAACTATACCTATAGGATACACTTGATATGCACACAACTTTAGTAATATTCTACTATATTGGCCATTGATTAGAATTTTATGAAAGTAGTGTGCCCAATTTAAAACTAGAACCTTAAGGAACACATGTAAAATTTCACTGACTCAAAGAACAGAAGATGTGAATCACCAAATATTTTTAAAAGGATTTGGTGCTGCTGGTATAGAAAGAAAACAAGAGATGTGATAACACCTGCTCTTAAAACTGAACCCAATCTTCATCCTATCTCTTCCTCTTTAGATGCAAGTGACTTGATACCTCTGCTATCCTTTCCTGTAAAACAAGTCTTTTTAATTTGAATCCATCCCATTTATTGATTCTTGACTTTAATTCTTGCACCATAGGGGTCTTATTAAGGAAGCTGGCGCCTAAACCCACATGATAGAGATTTGGGCCTATTTTTTCTTCTAATAGGCACACTGTGTCTGGTTTAATTCCTAGGTCCTTTGAGTTGAGTTTTGTGCATGGTGAGAGATAGGGGTTTAATTTCATTTTGCTGTATACAGATTTCCAATTTTCCCAGGACCATTTGTTGAAGAGGCTATCTTTTCTCCAATGTATGTTTTTGGCGCCTTTGTCTAATATAAGATAGCTGTAATTATGTGGGTTAGATTCTGTGTCCTCTATTCTGTACCATTGGTCTACCAGTCTATTTTGGTGCTAATACCATGCTGTTTTTGTTCCTATTGCTCTGTAGTACAGTTTAAGGTCTGTTATAGTGACGCCACCTGCTTCACTCTTCTTGCTAACACTTCTTCTCAGCAAAAGAAACAATAAGTGAAGTGAACAGAGAGCCTATAGATCGGGAGCAAATTTTTACCACTTGCACATCAGATACAGCACTAATCTTTATGGTATATAAAGAACTCAAAAAGCTAAGCACCAAAAAAACCAAATAACCCAATCAACAAATGGGCCAAGAACCTGAATAGACACCTCTCAAAAGGATATACGATCAATCAACATCCATATGAAAAAATGTTCAACATCTCTAGCAATTAGAGAAATGCAAATCAAAACTACTCTAAGATATCATCTCACTCCAGTCAGAATGGCAGCTATAAGAATACAAACAATAAATGTTGACGAGGATGTGGGGGAAAAGGTCCACTCATACACTGCTGGTGGGACTATGGAACTAACCTAGAAGTCCTTCAGTCGATGAACGGATAAAGAAAATGTGTATACATACACACAATAGAATATCACTCAGCAATAAAAGAGAATAAAATCATGGCATTTGCAGACAATGGATGGAGCTGAAGAATATAATGCTAAACGAAGTTAGCCAATCCCCCAAAACCAAATGCCGAATGTTTTCTCTGATATAAGGAGGCTGATTCATAGTGGGGTTGGGAGGGGGAGCACGCGAGAATTAGACGAACTCTAGGTAGGGCAAAGATGTGGGAGGGGAAGAGAAGGGGCATGGGGTTAGAAATGATGATGGAATGAGATGGATACCATTACCCTAAGTACATGCATAAGGACACGAATGGTGTGAATATACTTCGTACACAACCAGAGATAAATTGTGCTCTATATGTGTCATATGTAATGCATTCTGCTGTCATATATAACCAATTAGAATAAAAAAATTAAAAAACATAAAACAAAAAGAAAAAGAACCCAAAGTCTGCTGGCTTCTAAGATGACAAGCTAAAAATTGTGATGATAAAATCTTTAGTTTTTACTAAGTGCTAGGTCCATAAGAATGTGATCCAACTTTAGTCTTTTATTCACAGAAAAGGAGATGTTTGTTCAGCTGACCTATTAACTGAATTTAAGAAACTTTGTGTTACTTTGGAATTACCTAATTCAAGTTAAGAACATGAGTATGTGTGTGTGTGTGTGTGTGTGTGTGTGTATTGATTACCAGCTGCAGAAAAGAATCTGTTCTCTGCCTAATTATTCAGGTTTTGGCAAATATGAATTTTTAAAAACTGACTCAGGAGAAACTCATTACTAAAAGTCTCCCTCCAGTTCCTCTACAGGCCCAGTATTCTCTGTCCTGGAAGCCTTTCTTTGTATTGACTGTTTCTTCTGTCTAGAATGCTGTCCCTCACATATGTGCCCAGGTTTCCAAGCTTTTCCTCAGGTCACACCCATTGATTTGATGTTACCCTAACCATCCTATTTACAATGTAAAATGGATTGCACATATTATCCTCCCCCCATGTTAACTCATTTTTCATAGTATATGCCACTCCCACTATACCATATACCACCCCCACCATACCATAAGAAACCAGGGATGCTTAACCACTGAGCCACAAAAAAAGCCCTGCCTTTTTTTATTTTGAGACAGTATTTCTCTACATTGTTCACAGCCTTACTAAGTTGCTGAGGCTGATTGAACTTGTGATCCTCCTGCTTCAGCCTCCCAGAGATGACAGGCTTACAGTCATGTACCACCACGCCCAGCTTCCAACTTTATTATTAGTATTACAATAACTATACTAATTATGCTTATAATTTGACATTGCCTTCTCTGACTAGAATGTAAGCTCCTTAAAGATATGAATCTCTTCTTTGAAAGAAACTTCTTATGAAACAGAGAAAGGATTTTCAATTAAAAGAAACACTCTGCTAACCAGGGACGGCAGTGTGCACCTGCAGGACCAGCTACTTGGGAGTTTGAGGCAGGAAGATCACTTAAACCTGTGAGTTTAAGACTAGTCTGGGCAAAATAGCAAGACCCTATCTCAAAAAAAAAAAAAAAAAAAAATTGGGCTCAGTGATTAAGCACCCCTGGGTTCAATTCCCTGAAAAAAAAAAAAAAAAAAAAAAGAAAGAAAGAAAAGAAAAGAAAGACCCTGTTACTGTCTGATACTGTTTTTAATAAGGACCATGACCATAAAATGCAATTTTAGATTTTCAATGGCACAAATGGGAAAATTGTATACACAGTAAATCAACACTTAGACTATCATTATGGTAATGTTTATATGAGTGAAGGAAATCTGACTCAGGAGACAAAAGGACTTCAGACTTTCAATTTCAAAACCATCACTTGCACTAATATT